GCGCATATACGATCGGGTTTTAAGCCTTTCACTTTCCGAATCAACGTTTAGACATAAATATGTTTTTTCGTACGATCATCATATTTCAGATTGCGTTTACGTTTTGAGCTCTACCATAACTGCAAACTGCCTTTATACTCTTGCTTAAACTGCATCTTGCCTAATCAAGTGATTTACAAATCAGCATTTAGACGTAAATCAGTTTCTTCGTACGAACGTCGTATTTCAGTTTGCGCCTATATTCTGGGTTTCATCATAGCTGCAAACCGCCTTCATAGATTGACTTTAACATCATCTTGCTTAGAATCAGCTTTCACACAGAAATCGTTTTTATCGTTCGAACGCAGTTTCGTTTTAATCGCAGAAAGTTTTCCGCTGCACTAATTCAACCCCCCCCCCCCCCTCTTAGTGCTCTTGTGCTCTTGATCCTAACATAAAGCATGTACAGAAACACATAACCAAAGCTCTGGATATCATATCAAACATACATAAGGTGTAGTGGGACCACAGACAGAATGTGATTCATCCATTTCTGAATGACCACCAGACAGAAGTCTCCCACGTCTGGGAGCTCCATCCACCCACGTCTAGGTGAAGTCAGAGGGGGCCGATAGAGCATTGCAGGCTCTATGCATAACTCCCTTTACCATTTCTGGCAAAGGTTCACATTATCCCATAACACTAGAGTACAAAAGGGCAGTATGAACAATAAATAGCATATATCGGAAGCACACGCGGAACAACAAAACGTACATGTGCCTTTACGAGTCAATACGATGCAAGCAACAATCTCTCACAAATGTATTCAGATTTGGAATGAAATGAAAGCAAGAGTATACCAGGATTCCAAGCAATCATATGTAGCTCAATTCAAATAAGAAGGTTAGATGAATTCAATATCCAAAGGAATGAAACTAGAATAGGCACATATCGAAAGCAAATGCGGAACAATGGGATATACATGTGCCTATATGTGTCAATGCGATATAGCATAAACGTTAAACAAAAATGTTTTAAGAATATAAATAATTTATAGGCAAGAGCAAACCAGAATTTAAGCACTAACATAAGCCTCAATTGAGCGAAGGGGACTGAATGGAATCTATTTCCAAACGAATGAAACAGAATACGCAAAATCGACCAAAGCTCGATTTCTATCAGGATTCAAGAGGCACATTGAACAAATACTTCAGATTATCAATTATGCTCCAATACCCTTAAGAAATCTACTGTCGAAAGATATATCAATCTATTTTCTGATGAAATAAGTTTCATACGAATCAAGGTTTCCAACAAGGAGTTACCATTGATTTAGTGACCGAAGGTCAAAAAACTAAATCACTATTTTATAGAATCCATAAGGCGGAATCAATAGGTAGCAGAATAGGCATTTGAGTTCCAAAATTTGCAATCTATATATCAAAAGAAAGGTTTACAAGTCTAGTTTCAAATGAAATCAGTTTGGTACAAATCAGAATTTCCAACAGAGACTTATAGGCATTTTAGTATCGAAAGGTCAGAAATTTTGATCCCTGTTTTGCAGCATCCATAGGCTCAATTGAAACAGACGTTTGGGTAAGTATTCGGAGTCCAAAATTTTCAAAATCAGTGTGAAGGTATAAGAGTCTACTTTCAAATAAATAAGGTCCTACCTAAATTCATGTTTGGTGCTAAAAATTATGGCTGAAATAATGTATATGGGTCAGTTTACCGAAAAATTTCATATCCATGATTTTTGTATCTAACAAGAGAAATATCAGGTTCTAGGCTAAAATCTTTCGAATAATTCAGAATAAATATGAGATCAAAGACTAATAATTCTGTAGGATGGGATTAGAACACTTGCCATTGAGAATTATGACCCTAAATGAGAAGATTTGAGCAAGAAACCTCAAAGCCCCAAATTTTTTTTTCTTCTTCTTCGCCCTTTTTCTTCTCTTCTTCTTTCTTTCTTTCTCCTGTTCTTCCACGCAGCTGCCTTCTCTAGTTCCTTATGAACGAAGGCAGAGAGGCTTAAACGGTGGGATTTGTATTTTTATGCATTTTGCAGTTTAGTCCTTGTATTATTATATTTATGATTAGGTCCTCAGGGTTTACATATAGGTCCTCAGATTTTTTTTTCTTTTTGAACAAATCCCCCAAATCTTATGAATAAGTTCTCATATTCATATTTTGGCTCTTTTATCAAATTTAAAATAGATACTTATATTACAACTAGAAACTTATACGAAAATTCAGAAATGAGGGATGTTACAGAGGTGGTGGAGAATGCAGAGGCAAACTCCAAGTACCGAGATAAGGCTGAAGGGTAGAGGCCAAGGAACTTCGTAAGACCAGTGTCAACGAGCTTCTCATCAAGATAGCTAAGAGTGAAAGACTTCGAGTCATGCAAGAGTGCACGACCGAGGAACGAAGCAGGCAATACACAGTAATGTACCTTTGCTACTCAATGGAGCAGGCGACAAGGTTGATGGAGAAGAAGACGGTACAATCCCAGAGGCGACCAAAACTATTAGAGACTTACTCTAAGTTGGGGTGAAAACTTCCTGCATTCCAGAAGTTTGATGACATTGAGAAGGTGAATCACAGTAGCTAACTCAACGTAAGGAGTGCAAATACTTCAAGTGCTTTAGAAGTGTGAGCAAAGAGCAGGCGAAGGCCAGTAACCAGCTCGATGCATGGAGTACAACCCTCAAGAAGGCGAGCGAAGTCAAGTAGCTTTTGCCTTCTCAACTCTTAAGAGAATGGGCAAAACCGAGTACCCTAATTTCTTATCTATCAAGCAGAGGAGCTCTGCACATGTTCAAAGACCCTTTGAAAAAATCAAATGGAAGACAATAGTTGTCAAATCCTCACCGATGGTGATCAATGATATTGAGAGTAGATTATCCGCTTCATTTCCCAATAGAATGATAATCGATAGCGGAAGTGATGCGAACCTACTTGGAAGTGATAACTAAGTGAAAGAAGAGTTGATGGGCAAATTTTATGGAGGAATGACCCAAAAACTTTAAAAGTTTACTAGACAATGCTCGTTAAAGCTCCAACAAGTATCCACCCAATTCAAGTAGCATGAGGCATTTGAGAGACTAGCGCATAGTAAGGATGATCTTTTCCTTTATCTAAAGGATCTACAAGAACCAACGTGGATCAACACAACTCAGCCAATCCCACACGAGAGTCAGAGTCATTGGCAAGTTGAAACAATATAGCGGATCAAAAGTTCAACTACTCAATAATAGCAGCGGAGAGTAGCTATGAGCCAAGAGGCTCATTACAACTGGAGTAGGAGATTGAAGACTCAGCAAAGGCGAGGAGTTGCGGTGTCAGCAAAGGCTTCGTTGAGGATGTCGAAGGAATAAATGGGGGAGAATGTTACAGACAAAACTGTAAACAAGATGTTTAATGTAATGCTCATGTATGTCTGTGTCTTTTTATTTGTTCATGCTTTGCATAGCATGTAAAGGGACGGTCGAAGGCTTAACAACCCAATTTAGTTGGGTTTGGTGGTCATTTTAGGTTTGTAAATAAAGGTTGTGTCATGTGGACACTTATGAGAGATTTCAATTTGTAGTGGACTATTTTGGACCCTTTGTTGTGTAACCATTCAGAGCTTGTAAAGTCTGTTTGTAATTTGCATCGGTTATGAAGTGTTTCTTGAAATGATTGCTTATGGATCCTGAGTGAGGCACTTTCTCTAACCCGTTTCTCTTTTGTATGTCCTAAGGGACTACATGAGGTTTCGGGGAGGCTGACCTTTGCGGATGGACACGCAAGGGTGCTCCACGACTTAGGCAAAACCAGCTAAGTCCGTAACAGGACATAGATCACGATGACCGAACCACTATAAATCTAATGTGCTCTTTACTTTTGCTATTTACCTTCATTGCCTTCTTATTTAACCGTCTATGATTTTGCATATACTCTTATGAACATTTTCAAATTTAAACGTATTTTCTTCACGGGTCTTATCGAACGTAATTTTTTAAAATCATTGAAAGTTTACGATAGCACTAATTCACCCTCCTCTTAGTGTCATTCATGATCCTAACACGACTTACATCGACTTTTTGATATGTTATTTATTTATTATTTTTTAATTAATTTATTTTTTAAAAAAAATTTCCTTCACCCCGAATAATTAATAAGTCAATTATGGTGATAGCATTCCAACCAAATGATTGCTATTTAAAATAAAATAATATACTTATCCTTAAAATATTAATTGGGCAGTTAGATAACAAATATATATCGAGGGTTATAGTCTTTTGTCTTAAGAGTTTCTTTAGCTAAAAGATTTATGACAATCTTGGTGGGTTTTACGGACCTATCGGGCCAAAAGCTTCTCATGTAAAATCGGACCGGATTTATCTCGTGCACATCATGTCATTTATATTATATATATATATATATATATATATATATATATATATATATATATATATATATATATATAATACTAAATCATGATTTGATCCACTGATCTATTCATTTAATAATGATCTATTCAGTTATAAAATTAATGGGGAGGTGTACCGACGACTCGCCGGTGATGGAGATAATATTTTCGTATAATATACACGTAGAATCAGTTGATGGGGAGATCGAATCTCGATAATGTCATCATCACATAGTGAAGAGTGAAATAGTACAAAAATACAAATACATTTCCTGCGTATCGGCATCTGTTTCCATGAAGGGGATGGATAGGAGAAATAGCGCGGGATCCTGAATCCCGGACAGGTTCATCCCGCTCGTATTGCGACCACCACAAAGTAGGAGGGAGTCTCGTCAACGCACTCCAGAGAGAGAGAGAGAGAGAGAGAGAATGCATCTTAGCGAGCACGAGGGCATCGAGGGGAACACCTTCGTGGTGACGGGAGGGTTAGGGTTCGTAGGTGCGGCCCTCTGCCTGGAGCTCGTCCGCCGCGGCGCCGCCGAGGTCCGGTCCCTCGACCCCCGCCCCGCCTCCTCCTGGTCCATCCAGCTGCGCAAGGCCCGTGTCGAGTGCATCCAAGGTCCGCCTTTTCTTCTTCTCTCTCTTGCTTCTCCTGCAGTCTCTTCCAAGTACGGCGCGGTTTCAGCTTCAATCTGACATTTTTGATACGTTGTTGCCCTAAAACTCTTTCTTTTGGCCGTTAGATTTTCTCGGAGGCCCTAAATCCCTAATTTATCAGATTGATCAACTGTAGAAATCGAGTGGTTGGTGATCGCGTGCTCTTCTTGTTCTCTTCGATAACTACTACAGTTGGTGTAGGGTTTTAGGCGAAATTGTGAAGTTTTGTGCGATGAGTGAAAAACTCTATTTATCTTATCAGGCTCATAGCTGGTTGTTCAAATTCGAGATGGGTCGATCTTTAAAACCTTTATTTTTTCTGATTGCTGTAACAAACTATAATATAGTGCTTGAATGCATTGTCCAGTTGCTGATCATTTAACTGAACCCGACAATGATTAGGTCTTTCTTGCATATTGTTCAGTTGATTTATTCATTTTTGCAACCATTTACTAGCCTATCATTTAAACTGAACTGCTTACCTTATTTGCATTCTGAGATGAATGCCACACCAACATATATGATCCTTTAAGGCAATGGTTCAGTTGTGGAATTCATTTGGCTAATGATAATCACATTGGAGGCACTTATCGATGATGTAATTATGCAAGTGTCCACAGGTTTTTGAGTTGGTTATTGTGATAGGCCAATGTGGTTTATCCACATTCCAACACCAATCTGATCTGGGGTGAGAGAGACAGAAGATCAAGTGTTGGAATAGGGCCTTATGATGGTCAAACGATGGATTTGGTCAAGTTGTGTTTTATATAAGTAGGATTTTTCATGAAAATGTAACCAACAACAAAATCTAAGGGCATAGGATCCTGAATATGGATGAAAACAGGAAGATACTGGGTTAGGGTACTTTGGAAGACATAAAATATAAACATGAAGATCCAAGTCTGTATGATTTTTTTTGTTTGGGTGTGAATGGGCAGAAAGATGAAGGAAGCTCTGAAATGGGGTGTTGTGACTGATTGGATCTAGCACAAATAGGTTCAGCATAGGACCTGTTCTTCACTGGATTACAGGATCTGTTTTTATCTGATATATTATTGTTGGTATAAAGGTTGTAAATCTGAGTTTAGATCAGAGAAGTTTCAGCTGGCGGATATTGTTGAAGAAACGTTTGGTGTGGCATTGCATAATACTAAAATACAGAAATATTAGTAAGGAATTATGGAACAAAATAGTTTATGTGGACTTACTTATTTGAGATCCTAGGAGTTGTTTGTATGGCTGGCTTATAGTGCTGTGTTTCTATTATGATGAGCTATTCTTAAGCCACTTATATAGTAACATAATTCATCTAAATTTTGCAGGGGACGTGAGTCGGAAGAAAGATGTTGAAAAAGCTTTACGAGGTGCAGATTGTGTTTTTCATCTTGCTTCATATGGAATGTCAGGGAAGGAAATGCTCCAAGCTGGGCGTACTGATGAAGTTAATATAAATGGAACCTGCAACATGTTGGATGTCTGCCATGAGTTTGGTATCAAAAGGCTAGTTTATGTGAGTACATATAATGTTGTCTTTGGAGGAAAGGAGATTGTAAATGGGAATGAATCATTACCGTATTTTCCTATTGATGAACATGTTGATCCATATGGCCGGAGTAAATCTATTGCAGAACAGCTGGTTCTTAAAAGTAATGGTCGTCCATCCAAGTAAGTTTTTGAAGTTCTTAAATATTATTTTGCATATAGTCATTTGTGTTTCCTTTAATGATTTTTTTTTATAAGATAAGCATGTCTCTCTTTAGCAATTGAGGTAGTTCTCATAACCTTGATAAGGAGACATAGAGAGATATGCCTAGGTTGGCTTAAGAACTTCCTGTTGCAGAACAAAGGTAAATTGATCGAGTCATAGTTGAGCCATGTAGTTGAGTTCTAGGATTTGTTATTGGGATGATGTCGTGTTTTGTTTATGGCTTGTTTTAATAGATACTGCTCGTCAAATTTTATTCTTTGGGCAACTGAGCGAGCTTAGCTCTTTGTTTAATGTTTTTAGTTTTTGTTGGATCTGAAAGCATCTAATGCCAAGTTAATTTAATGTCTTTATGATTTTTTTTAAGAATTAACGAGTGCAAGGGGAGGCTAAGTGTTGCATCGGGTAAACTCTAGTGGATTGAGAGTCTCTTGGAGTAAAGAGGAGCTTCTTCATGAGCTTTTTTTTCTGAGAGGTTCTTGGGAGACTAGTGAATATATTGTTTATTCCCAGAGGAGCTATTGTGATGCCATTGATTAGAATGAAATGACTGTTGGTTCCATAAACATGAAGCAAATTCAACTATTTCTGGTAGCCTGAATGTAGCATCAAACTTTCAGAATTTTAGCTTTTAATTAAAAAAGACAAAAAAAAACTTATATATAAATTATAGCACACCTGTCTCTCCTCAAGCTTCTTCTTTTTGGACCAGGTTTCCTCCATTTCTTTTTCTCCTCTTTCCTCATGTCTAGTGTAGGCTCAAGCTTCTGCAACTCAAACTAAGGGATGCTAGCTCTTTCAGACTCTTATTTCTTTCGTCAGCCAGTTTTATTTGTTAAACAGTTGGACTGCTGTTATGGAAACAGTCAAATACAAAACTAACTAGGGAGGGATATAAGCCATCCAACATGCTTGGGTTGATGTATTGTGGTCCAACATTTAAGTTCCTGGTCAGATTGGTACATACTGTATTTACACTCCGGTAGACAAATATTCGATGAGTACCTTCCTTACTGTACTTCCACCACGGTATATAAATTCTTGATAAGTCCACCTCACTAAGCTTCCATGAGACCTTGATAGTATTTTCTTTATAATTTTTTTTTCTTGTTATAGGAAAAAAGATGGTTGCCTTTATACTTGTGCAGTTCGTCCTGCTGCTATTTATGGACCCGGTGAGGAAAGGCACTTTCCAAGAATTATTTCCCTTGCAAAGCTGGGTTTGGCGTTATTCAAAGTGGGCAGTCCAAGTGTAAAAACAGACTGGGTCTATGTGGAAAATCTTGTTCTTGCTCTGATATTGGCAAGCATGGGACTTTTAGATGACATTCCTGGTAGAGAAGGACATCCTGTGGCGGCTGGGCAACCATATTTTATTTCTGACGGTAACAACCAGATTCTTGGAATCAAGCTTCTATAATGTATTACACTTGCATTTGGAGATCCTAAAGAAGACAGACCAATGCATATACTGTTTCTGTGTGTCCCTTGTTATGAACTATTGAATTTTATCTCTGTTTCAAAGCACATATATTTTCATGTGGTTTCCTTCCATTAGATCTTGCAGTATATAGTATTTAATTCCAAGGATTACTTTTTCACATACCCGACCCATATTGGTCCCTGGCCCGACCGATATGTATCGGTGTTTGGAAGATGAAGGAGAAGAGAAGGTGCAATGGAGGAAGAGAAGGAAGGAAGAAGGGGAGGTGGTGGAGGAAAGAGGAGGAAGAAAAGATGGAGGAGAAGAGGAAAGGAAGTGTACTTATCGGCGGCTCACAGCGAACGACCCTAAGGGCTTGCATTTGAGCAACGTGAGCCCTCTTTGTGTTTATTATTGTTTTTTTAAATGGTTTGGATCAAACCACGCAAAACGGGGTTGATCCACATAGTGGTTTGCGCTCGGACCGGTACGTACAGTCCGGTCAAACACTGTCTAATTATCTAAAACGTGGAAATTGTTTAAGACTGAAGTTGTATAAAATTCATCAAAAATTTGTTGATACTAACTCTACCACGTGGTGTTAAAGAGCGAGCCTTGATATATGGTAAAGATTGCTCTTTTGCACTTGGATGACTAGGGTTTGAGTAACGGTTAATCTCTGATTGCAAGGGTAACACTTACCTTGCCCCACATCCTGCATTGATATGAGTCTCATGCACTGGACTGCTCTTTTTTTACTAAAATTATGAAGAGGAATATCAGGACTATGTAGTGATTGCTACGCCCAAATTATTAGTACACATTGATTACAAGAGGAATAAAGGGCTAAAAACAGCTGATATCTAGAGAGAAATATATTACTACTTGGCAGAATTAAAGTTACATTTCTTAAACATCTGTATCCTTAGTTTGGAAAATGTGAATGATACCTGACATTTTTTTTTCTTTTTCTCTTTGACATAATCTGAGCTCTAATTTTGGACAATAATAATGGATCTCATTTTATCAAGTAAAAGCTTTTATTTTAGGAAGGTCTTTTGACAAGGCCTGGGGGGTTTGTCCATGGCTTGTAGCTCTGTGCTGTCATACTTTGAGCTACTGGTTCCACCTTGTTGCTAACAAATTTGTTTCTGAGGATACCTTTAGAAAGGGACATTCCACCTTTAAAAGAGACATGAAAGTATGTTTCACTCTTTAACTTTCTGCAAGAACAGTAATAGTGCATATGAGCTGTGATGCAAAGGGCATGCCATAATTGGGGTTTGAATAAGACGACCTTTGCATGGGATTCTCATCTGTTCTATACCTTGAGATATTTAAAAATTCAAATGAGAATCATGTGAAGATGCCATAATTTGGTTTTGAATAAGATGACATTTGTATCTTAGATTTTTATCTCATTCATAATTGCAAATATTAGAAAACCCAAGGGATCTTTTAGCTTTGTCATCATCTTGGTATTGAAGGATTTTCCTGAAGGCGTCTCTTTTGCTGAATTTTGTCTTTAGCATTCTGTGCTATCTAACCTGTAGAGTCTCTCGTGATGTAGCATGCGGTAAAAAGGTATAACTGAACTACCTTTGCCTTGGTAATGTCATGTAATGTCATATTGATGGTATGGTCTTTTCTGGGCAACGCCATGGAGTAAAATATTGTAGGTAAGCATCTGTAATAAATCATATAGGTAAGCATCTGTAATACCGAAGATACAGGTTACATCCATTTTATGGTTTTGTTAGCCTATCAAAAAGTGTACTCATATTGTTTTCATGAATAATTATTCAGCATATATTACATATTTCTTTTTATTCGTGTATCATGAACTAATTTTTGAAATATACTTGCTTTTCTATTCAGGCTCACCAATCAACACTTTTGAGTTTATAATGAAGCCTTTGTTTCAGAGTTTAGATTATGGCTGGCCAAGACTGACGTTAGGTGTCCATCCTGCACTGTTGATGGCACGGATTTTTTGGGTCATTTATACACTTTTATATCCATGGCTCAATCGTAGATGGCTTCCACAACCTCTGCTTCTTCCAGCCGAAGTTTACAAGGTCAGTGATACTTGAACTTTTCATTGAATTGGATTACTGACACTTGTAGATTTTACTTGGATTCTTTAGAGTTCAAATGTGAATTCTCATTCAATTTTGAGTTTTCACTTGCTACATATATCCAGAATCTATTTGGGTAGTCTCAATGAAAAAACTAAAAATAATCAGCTGGTAGTGAAGGTTCACACCATAATTATTTTTTTCTTCTAGGAGGTTACATCATACTTGAATTGCAACTAATCTTGTTTACATGTGACGTCTATGTCTTGTTGTCTTGCCATATTGAGATCTTCCCATGTCGTCCCGTGACTGTGCTTCACATGCTACGGTTCACAATTTCATCCTTTCAGTACCAAGCACAATGAACATAAGTTTGTCCGGAGTTTTTAATATCATTTTTTGGAGCTTTGTCAAACATAAGAGATGAAGTCATTGTGGCATATGATGCTTTTTCTCCATATCATGTGTGATTTACTATGTGCACTCAAATGAAGAGGTCATTGACGGCACATGGTGCTGCTGAAATATCTAACTTCCATAATTCTTTGAACAGATTGGTGTGACACACTACTTCTCCATTGTGAAAGCTAGGCAAGAGCTAGGCTATGTACCAATTGTGAGCCCTCAGGAGGGCTTGAACGCCACAATCTCATATTGGATGGAGAGGAAGAGAAAAGAGCTGGATGGCCCGACGATATTTACCTGGCTCTTCTCGATCCTGGGGATGACTATATTGTTTTGTGCAGCTTACGTGCCTCCTGTGGGACCTTTTGCTTGGACAAGGGCAATTGGTCTTTTCTTCTTCCGGTCAGTCTGGACCCTGAGACTCGTCTTCAATGTGTCAGCAGCTTTGCATGTCAGTGAAAGCATCTACGCCTGGTACCTCTCGAGAAGAATCGACCCTGCAAATTCTAAGGGGTGGTTTTGGCAAACACTGGCGCTGGGCATCTTCTCACTGAGATTTCTGCTGAAGAGAGGGTGAAACTGAGGTAGTGACCCCCCCCCCC